GAAATATATATAGGAATGATTCAAATGAGACCCGCGATTTACGTGTTACATGTAAATACTAAGATTTCTGTTATCACTCACCTCCAATAACTAAAATGTGTCGTGTTCTTAGTTTGGTTTTATACATTGTTCTGCGGTTCATGAACTCGTCGTACATTCGGTCAACGTTAGAGGGCGCAGTGTTCATGACAATAATGCAAGCTACTAGTCTCAGAAATTCTGGATCCTAGATATGATAACAGGCAACGAAACAATCACCAAAAACAAAGAAAAGGAAACTGCAACAAATAATAAAAAAGTACACCACGAAAAACCAAATCTACCAATGCCAGCTGGATTTCAGAATGAATGGATTGCATAGGAATTCTTCCACGAATCGAAAGATATTGTGACGTTAAATGCGGGGGGGGGCCTTTATGGGGCTACACCGTATTCAGGATCGGGGAGCTTGTTTTTAATACCGGTCTAATAGTCTTTGTCTTTGGTAGCGTGCTTATCTAATAACTCTCCTCCCTCTCAGCTCGTCCGCTGTCACGGGGTGGGGATCGTTTGGTGAATGTATATCACCACAACTGAGACTGTGCAGAGAAAGAAATATACCAGTAACGATTATAACAAATTAACACAACACAATATATACGGTTTCCTGTACTTTAATGAACAAATAACAGCAGGGGGTGGGGGTATACAGTACATAAATAGAATTAAAAAGACTTGATCGAGGCTGCAAGGAACACTCCACTCTCCGGTTAACAGCAATGTACCTGGTTGCGTTCCTTCGTATCTGGCACACTGTCTCAGCAGCTGCACTACAATTTAAACTCGTGCTCTGTGTCCAGGGAGTATCGGCAACTTCACTGCTATCTGCTGCTACTGGTAGCACCGGTACAACGGGAGTAGTTCAGGCAGTGAGCTTCAGTGGTTCCTGTTGATCAGCAGGGTTACTGCACAGCACGTCTGCATGTGTACCACAGTATAGGGTACAGCTCACTGGAGTCAGAATCAGCATCTC